GGATTGCACCTGACAGACAGTCTTTGGGTCCTTTCTTTATCAGAAAGAAAAACCTTCATGGCATTTCCAGGTTACCTAATGCTGTTGCTCCAGTAGACAGTAACTTGGATGCTTTAGAGGAGAGTTTGCACCCTGATGTCTTGGGTATTGGTTCTGAAATTTTTATCCTAGCATTATCAGCTCAGGGCCATCTCCTGTAACTAGATTTTGGCCTGGTGGGACTCCCCCTGAATTTGATAGCAACTCTGAGTGCACAATGTTTACAAGCTTAGTCACAGCCACTGGATTTCATCACTTCAAAGGAGTGTCTGTAAAGAACCAGTTACACAAAGGTTGCTTCCTTGCAGAGCCTCAGGATTCAATTTAAATTAATTGTATCTTCAGTCCATAATGTGTGTATGTGGGGTCCTCTAGTGTTGCAGCTATGCAAATAAAAGCTTGCTGATACAGTTTAGTTTTGGGAGACAACAGTAGCCAGTTGGTCTGAGATTGTTGCTGGCTGCTGAGTTTCACATTGTATGCAGATTTGTGCTTTCAGTGTCAAAGCTGATCTTGCTGAATTCTGAGGAGTTTAGGGTATTTCCATTATCCAGTTGCAAACAGTGAAATCCCAGTGGTATTTTCCATCTTGTGGATGCTCTGCCTGCCTATTAAATGGACAAAGTGGGTATTTCAATTATCTTTGACAAGATGTAAAATTAGCTAGCTTTACAGTGTTAAATGTTTAAACAGAACATAATTGACTTTAAATTTATGGCAGTGCATAGCAGAAACCCATGAAATGGCAGTATATATTGAGCTCATTTATTATCCTTTCATCAGAGGTCTCTTCCCATAGCAGGTATTTATTTAACCCAAGAAAATGTATGCAGAATTAAGAAGAAGGGCTGACAGGAGAGAGAGAATAGGAAAAAAAAAAAAGTTTTTTTCCTTCTAGGTCATTTTGTCCAGTATGCCCAGTTTAGTAGTGATCAGAGTCCTGATCCTGTTAATTCTGCGTGTTGTCTGGTTTGCCCTAACAGTAGGTTCTCGTGTATGGAGTTTGGTGATGCAGTTTTCTGCTGAGACCACAGATAACCTTTGTGCTTCCTCTACCACATAGCAGAGAAATCAAAGATTAAATGGATTAGATCACAGTGACTAACCTAAACCTTATGATGTCGGAGGAGGCACGCTGCCAGGTACGGGAAGAGTTTGACCCCCTTCTCCTGCTGTGTGGATAAACCCAGGTGGGAGATCATGCATGCAAATCTGTAAATGTTGATGCTTTATGAGAAGATCCAACTGGTGTTCCTCTGAATTCAGCTCAGGGAGCTGCTCTTTTTCTGTGGACACACAAGTTCAGCTGCAGTCCATGTCTGCGTTCAAACGCCACTTCAGTGGCAGACCAAGGTATTTTACCAACTTTACCCGATTTTCAGGTGATTTGGCAGGTTTAGTACTCTGCTTGCAAGGCTGTACTGCCTGTTTAATTAACCCCTATTACCCGACAGTAATAGCTGTTACAATGTGAGACTGGAATTTCAGCTTCTCCTAAGTTGATTAGGGATTGCGTCTGTAAGAGACTCAAGCTTTTCTTATGACATCAGTCAGACCTTTCTCAGCTGGTGGCATGGAGTAGGGATGGAAGCTGCCTCAGCTAGATAGTAAAAACATTTGCTTTAGGTCAGCAGTATTCCTCTGGGACATGCATACAAAGTACTTCTCTCTCTCTCTCAAAAAAAAAAAAAAATCTAGTCTTTGCTACCTCTTAATACTCTGTTGGGAAGCCACAGCAGAAAACATGTCTCCATAAAAATGTAAGTGCTTGAGGAGAACAAGCAGAATTCCACCCTGTTAGGACCTACGCTCTGTGCAGTTGAAAACCCAATCCATCGCTTCAGCTTCCATGTTTATGCAGAGACTTGGAATGAAAGTCAATGCCTATTAAAGGTGGGCAGAATTTCAGCCATCTTCAGTGAGCCAGGATCTCATCCTGGATTACTTGGATTTTTATATAGTTAGTTATCTTCTCTGTGTAGCCAAATCCTACCTCTAAGCAAATGCATTTTAAGTGTTTTTAAGCTCAGGCAGTTTTGGTCTGACTCGGTCAAAAATAGGAGGTCATTACAGTTGGATCAAAACACCGGAGATGAAGGAGGTTTGTTATCTAGCAAAGTTTGGAAGATTCTCATGGTTTTGGTGAAGGCATAAAGAGTGTTGGCAACTTTCAAATTAGCCTTGGAGTTTGTTTTTAATAAAGGTATAAAACGTAGCACCTCAGGCTTCTGCTTTGCCTCCTCCGTGTGCAACTTCTTCAGCACACATGCATATCACCAGACAAGGTGAGTTTCTCTTTATCTGGAGTTTTGGGGATTATGAAACAAGATTTGGTCATTCAGGAGCAGCCACGATCTATGTGAAAACAAGGAATAATGAGCATGAGGAATCACACATGGAGGAAAACAGACAGCCCTTAAACCCAAATGTTGGTACCTAATTCCATCCTCTTGTATATCTTTTAGTACCTTAATAACTGGCTTGATTGGTACACAAGCCAATTCTGCTTCATATATACATCCAGAAGTCTCCACAGCTGAGTCTCTTTATGTTCCACATTGTTCTGTGTGCTGTACAACTATTTAGCTTTTCATACAATTAGTTCTGTCCCTGCGCATAGCCTCTTCAGTTAATCTGACAGCTTTCCTAACTAGTCCCAAGTTTTGGGTCTGTGGGCCAGAAGATGAGACAGAAAGCAAATCCTAAATACACCAATATTACCATGGAGCTACGTATGCTACTGTGCACAGTGTTCACCCCAGTGTGGGCAGGCTATGGTGGACAGAGCTGCAGGTGAGGTGATGAACCCCTAGTTTGTCCAGGAATTCAGCTGATTAAAGGATAATATGGCAAATGGACAAGTTGGAATTTGTCTTTCTGCACTCTGGATGCCCAGGATCTGCTAGCCTGGAAGCTCCTGCCTTCCTGACTTCTCCACCAAGCCTTCCTGAAGAAGTCTGAGTTTCCATGCTGTAGAACACTAAACCTTGACCTCCACAGAGCTTGTCCCTCCCAAGTTCTTCCCATTTACTTCAGTCTTTGAAAGAGTAGGGGAATTCACTGCATACATATTACCAACAGGTACTGAGGATACCCTCTAGAGTTTTCTGTGGAAAATGCAAATGATGGGGGGGGGGGGGGGGGGAAAAAACAAAAAGGT